CTGAACCAAAGCTGAGCCAATGATAAAAGCCGGGGAGGCTGGAGTCTGGTCGACCCCAGGGAAGAGGCAGGCCTAGGCCTCAGGGCCCTCCCCTGGCACATCTCCTGGGTTAGCCCCATTTGCCACTCTCCCTTGGGATTCTCAAGCCACCTGCTCCCTAGGCCCCCAATTCTGAGAAGGAAGAAACCAGTTGCCCTATTTCTTTCCCCCCCAATTCCCAGAGGCTGCCTCTCTGAGTGCCCTCTTGAGGGGCCAGGGGCCTGAGATAGGAACATTGGGGTCTTGCCTCCTGTCCCCACCCCACATGTTGAGAGGCATCATCCTGGTTCCTGTCCCGAACTGGTTAGCTGGGAACTCCCCAATCCCCCCATGACTCATTCCTTTAAGCCCCCGGAATCCTGGCAGAGACCAGAGGAAACCGGATGTCTGTCCCGAATGAAGCAAGACCCTTTGAGGCTCTCGGTTCAGGTTCACCTGACCTTGCCCTTCCTCCTCCCCCGCCCCCCCCACCCCCGCCCGCACTACCCCTCCCCCCCAGTGTCGCAGTGCTTTGGAGTTGATGGTCTGGGACAGGTGGCTTCCCTGGCCAGGTTCACTGCCAGCGGGCATGTGTGTGCTGCCCTGAGGGGAGAAGCGCTAGGGTGAGAAAAAAGAAACCACCCGGCTTCAAACCCGAGAACCACGTACTGTTAGCGCTGGAAGGGACTTTGGAGTCTGTTCCAACCCTGTGAACCGGGCCAGTGAGGGAAGAGGCTTGCCCAAGGTCATGGGTAGCAGAGTCAGAGTTATAATCCAGACCTCTGCCTTGGGCCTGAGAGTTTTCCACAGGCCATGCGGCCTGCCTGGGGAAGTCTGACCAACCGCACGCAAGACTGCCATGTTCTGTCCCAACAGAACGTTGTTCTACCCCAGGACGGGCCAGAACAGAGTCTCTTCGGATGAGGAGTGGGTGTATCTGACTGGGCCAGGCCACCTCTGGGGCGGGGGTGCCCCCTGGTGGCCACAGCTGGCAGGGCCTTCACCTGCTAATCAATTCACGTCCTGCCTCAGGTCCCTGGTCCTGCCGGGCAGCCCTGGCCCCCAGCTCCACCTTAGGCCAGGCAACTGGCCACCATGCCCCTAATCAAGCCCAGTTCTGCGCCCACCTCCACGGGAGGAGAGGGGTGGGTTTAACAGAACTGTGGGGGGATGGCAGAGGTTCTCACAAACATGCCTCCTCTCCTTCCCCCTAAGAACCTCCAGAGGACACAGTCGGCCCCAGATGTTGTGCAGAGCATGCCCTGTACACTGGCAGATGCATTGCTTTCAATAAGCCTATGAGAAAGGTATCAGAACCATTTCCCCTTTTACAGAAGATGAATCTGACCTTGGAAAGGTTGACTTGCCCCAAACTAGCAGAGCCAAGGTCTGCACTGTGCCAGAGTCTTAAACTCTTAACCATTGGATCTCTTTCATTCATTCATTAATTATTTATATAAAATTTATTTATTTGGCTGCGTCGGGTCTTAGTTGTGGCACGCGAGGTCTTCCTTGTGGCACGCAGGGTATTTCGGTGCGGTGTGCAGGCTCTAGAGGGAGAGGGCTGAGTTGCCCCACAGCATGTAGGATCTTAGTTCCCTGACCAGGGATCAAACCCCCGTCCCCTGCATTGGAAGGTGGATTCCTAACCACTGGACCACCAGGGAAGTGCCCACCATTGAATCTGACCAATGTTTGGCCTTCCTCAACCATCACCAGGCCAGCTCTAGACCCAAACTTTAATTTTCACTTACAGTCCAAGTGCGTCAGAGGTTTGGCCCAGAAAATGCTACTTCTAACAAGGGTGGCCAGAATGGTGTAAGGACTTGCGATCACGATTTGAAGAAAACAGGCCATTTTGTCTGGCCAAGAGGAGGTTGTTGCGTGGTCTCAAGGGCTAGAAGTGGGACAGGGAGTGGAAGCCCAGCTAGCCAGCTTTCAGCTCAAGGAAAGAGCTTTCTAACCGTCAGAGGTGCTGGAGGATGGGGTGGGCCACTTCCAGAGGAAGTGAACTGCCTGACCAGGGAGGTGTTCTGGCCTCCATTCCATAGAGAGAAAATCCGAATGTTGGCTGGCAGTTACTGGACACCTCTTATGTGCCAGGCACCTTCCATTACACTTTTGTCTTTCATCCTATCAACCAAGTGTGGACTATTCCTATTATAGATAAGGGATAGCCTCAGAGAACCGAAAGGCCCAAGATCACAGAACAAGTCGGGGGCAGAGCGAGGCAGGATTTGTGATCAGCCTTCCCAAGCCCCCGTCATTCCTATTACACTATCTCCCTGTTCAGAGAGCTGTATGTACTTCTTGGATGATGGCTCAATCCAGACCTCAGCCCCACCCATGAGAGAATAAAGACCAGGCAGAGAGAAAGCCTCGTTACCAGTCCTGACACATGCGGGCTGAGCCAGACTGAAATGATCTGGCAAAGGTCCTGGCTCCAGAGACCCCCACTAGCTGTTATTCATCCTTCCAGCTTCCTAAAGGCTTTCCCAGTTATTTCTCAATGGCCAGAGCGGGTGAGCGGCTTCCACTCACACTTCCTGTTTTCATCTGGAACTGGGCTTGGAGTGTCCTTATAAAAGCTCCGGCGTAATGCCTTTGTTGCATACTTGGCCTGTGGGCCAAGATATGTACACCCTGAGTTAAGAATCGGTTTTACATGTTTTAAGTGGTTGGAAAAAAATCAAAAGATTTTTTTTCTTTGGCTGCATTGCGCAGCATGCAAGATCTTAGTTCCCTGACCAGGGACCTCGCCCCCTGCAGTGGAAGCACGGAGTCTTAACCACTGGATTGCCAGGGAAGTCCCAAAAGAATATTTTATCACAGGCAAAAATCATGAAAAGCCAGTGTTCATAAATAATTTGTTTACATATTGTTTATGTAAGGCCCCTTTCAAGAAGGGCAGAAGTGAGTAGTTGTGACAGAGCACAAGGCTCGCAAGCCTAAAAAACGTACCATCTGGCCCTTTAAGAAAAGTTTGCAAACTAGTACACAAGACATATGTACAAGGGGACATACAGAAATGTCCTCTGCAGTGTTGTTTGTAACAGTAAACCAATGGCCACCAATAAATTAATGAACAAATAAATTGTGGCCCATTCATACCACATGTGCCTCTCTACCGTTCCACAATAGAAAATCCACGAGGAAAGCAGTTTGTTTTATTCAGTTATTTTCTTAGTCCCTAGAACAGTGCTGGGCACAGGTTTAAACATGATTAGATCTCAAAACCCACACTGAGTGAAAGGAACTTACTTTCATGTGACACATCATTTACAAAGATTTAAAAACTCAAGACAATACTATATTTTGTAGTAAAAGTATAAAAACATAAACTGGAAGGATACCCACTGAATTCATCAGAGTGGCTGCCTTTAGGGAAGGAGGGAGGAGGCCTGGGGAAGGAAGATGGGCTTTTAACTTATCTGTCATGTTTTATCTTGCATGAAAAAACTTGACATGATAACAAAAGGTTGATATTTATTAAAATTGGGTGGAAAGTACATGGGCATTTCTTACGTTATTCCTTGTACTTCTCTGTAGTTTTCTAATTAAAAAACAAAACTGGAAGGTAGAGAACACAGTGAACTCTACAAGCATAAAAATAACACTGAACTCCAGGAAAAGAAAGCTAAGCCAGTGGCAATGAATTCTAAGAAACTTCCAGACCGTGAGCAGACAGAAGAATGGTCTATAGACTCAAGGTGGTTGAGAACCAGGAAATCATGACAAATGACCCCAACTCTGTGTAACAGGATGACAGGCTCTCCAATCCATTACCAACCAGGAAAGGGTATGGGGCACTTTGGGCTGGGTGCTGACTTTAAGATTTGTCATTGGGAATAATAATAATTACAAGTAATTATCACACACTCAAAAAGAAAGTCATTTTAGAGGTCAGGTAAAGTGGTCATGGGCCAAAAGGACAGCCACGTAGAGACAAAAACCAACCAACCAACCAACCAACCAACCAACCAACCAACCAGATAACAGAGCCACAGACTGAGGCTGGGAGAAGGCCGCACAGCCTACAGAACGTGACCTGAACTTGGTATCACGTAGGCCAGTGTTCAAGTCCCACCTAAGCCTGTCCTCACAGCCTGGAAGTGGCACGGAGGGGTGCTCACCGTTAGTCCCCATCCTTCCTGGAAGGGAATTAAAGATCTCCTATTAGGGGCTTCCCTAGTGGGGCAGTGGTTGAGAATCTGCCTGCCAATGGAGGGGACATGGGTTTGAGCCCTGGTCTGGGAAGATCCCACATGCCGCGGAGTAACTAGGCCCATGAGCCACAACTACTGAGCCTGCGCATCTGGAGCCTGTGCTCTGCAACGAGAGGCCACGATAGTGAGAGGCCCGAGCACCACGATGAAGAGTGGCCCCTGCTTGCCGCAAATAGAGAAAGCCCTCGCACAGAAACGGAGACCCAACACAGCCAAAAATAAATAAATAAATTTTTAGAAAGATCTATTAGATTTTCAAATTGGCCTGTAAAATGGGGAAAAGATTGAATCCCTTAAAAAAAAAACTGGAAAGTTTGGATGCTGGAATAATAACATCTTCCACAAAGATCAAGGGGGGAGCTTGGGGAAAAAAAGTGCCGTTTCACAAAGCAAACTTTAAAAAGTTTCACTAGGTACTTCCCTGGTGGTGCAGTGGTTTAGAATCCGCCTGCCAATGCAGGGGACACGGGTTCGAGCCCTGGTCCGGGAAGGTCCCACATGCCACGGAGCAACTAAGCCTGTGCGTCGCAACTACTGAGCCTGCGCTCTAGAGCCCGCGAGCCACA